CCGGCAGCCCCCCGCACCGCGGCCGACCCGGAAGCGCAAGCGCCAGCCGGCGCCCGGGCGGGGGAGGCGGCGGCCATGGCGGCCGGCGGCCCCTTCCGCTTCGCTCCCGCGCGGCTGCGCTTCGCCGCCGAGCACCCCTTTTTCGAGGTGGGCGCCCACCCCCCCCGATGCCCCCTGCGGCGCGGCCGCCCCTCGCCGGCGGCGGGGCGGCGAGCCGCGCTCTTGCCCGCCCTGGGGCAGCGGGCGCGGCTCTGAAGCGGCTCCCGCCCTCTTGTCCGCAGGACGGCGACGTGCACCGGCACCTGTGCTTGCGGGACGCGGTGGCGAGCGCCGCGGAGGCCCCCGAAAGACCCCGGTAAGGCCGCCGGGTGCCCCCCGGCGCCCCGCGGAAGGGCGCCCCTAGCCCGGCATGGCCCCGTCCGCTGTCAAGGCCGGGCGCCGCCGCACCCCGAAGCCCTTGGGCGCCTCTTCGCCAAGCCGGCGCCCGTGTGGGGAGCCTGGGCGGCGCTGCTCAGGCAGGAGGCCGGCGCGGACCCGGAGTCCGGGCCCCAAGCTCCCTCCTCGCCCTCCCTCGGCTGCCCGCTTTGGCTGCCCCACGAAACGAGGGCAGGCTGCTCTGGCTCCTGCCTTGGGGCCAGGGGGGCAGGAGGAGGGTGCGATGGAAGGTGCCGGGGCCCCAGTGGGAAGGAAGAGGTGAGTGGATGCCCCAAGCCGAGGGGCCGTTGCAGTGCTCCTTCACAAAAGTTGGCTCTCTGCACTTCCTTTCAGCACTTCCGAGATGTTTTGCCATGCCACTGGATGCTGCCAGGTTTTCCACACCTTGGAAAGTTATGAGCATCACTACAACGTGCTGCACAGGAATGTTTGTTCTTTTTGCAAGCGCTCCTTCCCTTCACCGCATTTGCTAGATATTCATATTCTGGAATGGCACGACTCCCTTTTCCAAATGATGGCTGAGAAACGCAACATGGTAAGCAGCAACAAGGCCAGTTTAGGGCAGCCTGCCCACATGAGTGCCATCATGGCTCTGAGGCTGTTCAGAATGCAGCCTAATTGTAGCTATTGTCACAACTGTACAGACCAGTTGCAGAATAGTTCGTGTGGCGGACCAGTACTCTGGATCTAACAGTATAAAGAAGTGGATGACTGTCTTGTTTCAAAATAGGCTGAATCCTGACAAGGTGGAGGATGGTGCATACAGAAGGTACATAGCTCAGGGGTACCTCTAGGTCAGGCTTTAACACTTGAGGCTCCAGTGGCCTTGGTGGCACAGGGTGCATTTAACCAGCTTTAGCTGTCCACCAGCTATGACCACCCCTGAGCAGAGATTCAGGTGATGGTGAACCATGTTTTTGTAGCCTCCTAAATACTATGGTGTATTTTATGCAAGGCCACCCTTGAAGAGGGCTTGGAATCTGAGAATATGGCAGAATGTGGTTGCCAGAGCTGTAGTCGGGTCAGCTGGATGGCAGCATGATAGAGCAGCCCATGAAGAGTAATACTGTTTGTTTGCTTCTCAATCCTGTTTGGGCTGCTGGTGCAGATCTTTAAGCCTCAAACACCTGAAAGAAAATCTCTTTTTTGCATGACGCTGCCATATCTGAAGTTCCTCAGGGGAAACTTTTCTTTGGATTCCTTTGTTAAGAGAAGTTAGTGTAGGAACTAGGCAGAGGGCTTTCTGTGCAGAGTTGCCTTGGCTCTGGAATGTTTGTTGTGTTGTGTTCTGCATTTTAATTCGTATTCTCTTGCATACTTCTCTTATATTCTAGGAAATGTGGGTTAAAATATTTTAAATGGCTATATAAAGTGAGTCCCACTCATTGGCTCCTCTTTCTTGCTGAAATTTTGTCGAACAGTGACTTTTCGCTGAGACAGTTCCTACCCCACCGCATGAGTGTGTGCCACCAAGGACGGTAGTCTGAGCCTAAGGCCTTTTGCAGCCATAGTGAACACCCTGTTGTGAAGCTACAGCCCTTTCCTCGTGAAAGATGTGCACCATGACCTTGCATTTCTTGTCCCCTTTCTAGTACCAATGTTTGGTAGAGAGCTGTCCACAGAAGTTCAAAAGCAGCAAAGACCGTCGAGATCATTTAGTCAAAGTTCACCAGTACCCATCTGATTTTCGCTTTGATAAAACCCTGAAATGTAAAAGGTAAGTGGAGGAAGGAACTAGAGGAATGACTCTCCTTGAAATCATTCTAACAAGGAAGAGCTGGTGGACAAAGTGGCAGTTACAGGAATTCTGGGGCAACCTGCTCAAGCCATACTTAAATTCTTGATTCTAAAGGAAGCAAAAGCCAAATGTAGCCAAACACATGCTCTGGATTTAAGAAAGCTGATTTTGATAAACTCAGTACAATGATAAGCAAAGTCTCATAGAAAGTGACTCGAAAGAGAAAAGGAGTCCAACATGGGAGGGAGTATATACAAAGGAGATTCTAATGGCACAATTACAGAAATTCCAACAAGGAAATAGAAGACAACAGAAGAAGCCCAAGTGGCTTCGCAAAAAACTTAGAGATGCCGAAAGCAAAAAATGACATGTACAGGAAGTGAAAGGAAGATCAGGCTTGTTGTTAGTCGCGAAGTCGTGTCCGACCCATCGCGACCCCATGGACATCATTCCTCCAGGCCTTCCTGTCCTCCACCATCAGCCGGAGTCCACCCAAGTTCACCCCAACTGCTTCAGTGACTGCATCCTGCCACCTCATCCTCTGCCCTCCCTTTCTTCTTTTACCATCTATTGTTCCCAGCATTAGGCTCTTCTCCAGGGACTCCTTCCTTCTCATTAGGTGGCCAAAGTATTTGAGTTTCATCTTCAGGATCTGGCCTTCTAGAGAGCAGTCAGGGTTGAACTCCTCTAGGACTGACCGGTTGGATCGCCTTGCGGTCCAAGGGACTCGCAGGAGTCTCCTCCAGCCCCACAATTCAAAGGCCTCAATCCTTTGGCGCTCACCCTTCTTTATGGTCCAGCTCTCACAGCCCTACATTGCAACTGGGAAAACCATGGCCTTGACTATATGCACTTTTGTTGACAGGGTGATGTCTCTACTTTTTAGTATGCTGTCTAGATTTGCCATAGCTTTCCTCCCCAGGAGCAAGCGTCTTTTAATTTCTTGGCTGCAGTCCCCGTCTGCAGTGATCTTGGAGCCCAGGAAAATAAAATCTGTCACTACCTCCATTTCTTCCCCCATCTATTTGCCAGGAAGTGAGAGGACCGGATGCCATGATCTTAGTTTTCTTAATGTTGAGTTTCAAGCCAACTTTTGCTCTCTCCTCCTTCACCCGCATCAAGAGGCTCTTTAGTTCCTCTTCACTTTCTGCCATGAGAGTGGTATCATCTGCATATCTGAGGTTGTTGATATTTCTCCCAGCAATCTTAATTCCAACTGGTGATTCATCTAGCCCCGCCTTTCTCATGATGTGCTCTGCATATAAGTTAAACAGGCAGAGCAACAATATACAGCCTTGCCGAACTCCTTTCCCAATTTTGAACCAATCAGTGGTTCCGTGTCCAGTTCTCACTGTTGCTTCTTGACCTGCATATAGGTTTCTCAAGAGACAAATAAAATGGTCTGGGACTCCCATCTCTTTAAGAACTTGTCACAATTTGTTGTGATCCACACAATCAAAGGCTTTAGCATAGTCAATGAAGCAGAAGAAGATCAGGCTACAAAGGAAGAATACAGCCAAGAAGCATGGAATTGCAGGGATGGCGTCAGGAAGACTAAAGTTAGGAATTAACTAAACCTAGGAAAAAGATATCAAATGCATTGTTAAAGGATAGGGAATACTTGCCTCAGCAATTCTGCAAGTGAGGAGGATCTTGGAACTCCTGTAGATCACAAGCTGCATGTGAGTCAGCAATGTGATGTGGCTGCAAAAAGGACAAATGCTGTTTTAGGCTTCATTGAGAGAAGTATCACTTCTAAATCCCATGAAGGACTAGTGCCCCTTTAGTCAGCACTGGCTAGGCCACATCTGGAGTACTGTGTCTTGTTCTGGGGACCACTATTTTAAAAAGCTAAAGGCAAGTGGAAAAAGTTAAGAAGAGGGCAACAAGGATGATCAGGGGACTGGAAACAAAGCCTTATCAGGAGAGGTTGAAATAACGGCCTGAAATAATAGGCTCGCTCTATCTATCAATTGGTCTGTCTGTCTGTCTGTCTGTCTGTCTGTCTGTCTGTCTATCTATCTATCTATCTATCTATCTATTTAAAACTTTTCTATACCATCCCATACTTAGACGTCTTGGGACAGTTTACAACAAATTAATCCTAAAAATAGAAATAAAGATAACAGTTGCCCAGCATCCAATGTTAAAAACCCACTAACTAAAACAAATTAACAATTAAAATACTGGGAGAATAAAAAGCTTTTCATCTGACGCCAAAATGAAAGAAGCGTTGGCACCAGGCAGACCTCCCTGAGGTGTGTGTTCCACAAGTTACAGGAAGCCAGGTTCTTGCAGAACATCAGAAAGAACTTCCTGGTTGTTAGAGTAATACAACAATAGAGGCAACAACCTAGGAAGGCTGGGGGCGCTCCCACACTAGAGCCATTCAGGGTGCAACTGGAGAGCCAGCCGAGAGGGATGGTTTAACCTGGAGTCCTGCACTGAGCAGGGGGTTGGCCCTCGGGCCTCTTCCAGCTCTATTCTGTAAAACGCCTGAGTATCTACCTCCAGGGACAGGTAGGATGGGCATTCAGTGGAGTTGCTTTGGCAGTAACGCATGGAAATGAGGCCTGTGCACTTCTTGGAAGAGCAGTGGCTCCGCTCTATCCACGGCACTGCCACACTTGCTCTGTGCTGCCCGCACTCCTCTATCAGCAGCAGACAGTTGTCCCAATGCCCGCAGGACGCAGGTGCCCCATGAGGCAAGTTAAGCTGGCCGTGTGGGCCTTGGGGTCAGAGAGGGATGTGGAACTGGATGAACGTCCACCCAGAGCTGCTGTGGCGTGCTGACTTGGGTCTGCGCGTGGCTGTAAGGAGCGACTGGGCAGCATGTGCTGCCGTTCCTCATCACTGGCGCTTTTGGCTGAATCTCTAAAGGGCTGCTGGTCTCCCACCTCCACACGAAGAAAAAGGAAGGTAGATTTTAGGGCAAGTGTCGGGATTTGCCCAGGTGCGGTAGGAGGAGGAGGAGGAGAGGCCTCTGGTGTGGTTGCAGAATGCTCTTGGAACTGCTCAGCACCCTCACTCTGGGCTGTGCCTCTGCAGCAGCACAAAGCAAACGAGGCCTCCATTGAGCGAGAGCAGTGTGCCAATGGACGTGAACGACGGGGATGGCAAGCAGGCAGCGGCGGATGCCATGGAGCTGGGTTCCAGCGAGCCTGCTGTGGAGCACACCCTCCCACCTGCTGAGGAGAGGGCTTTGCATGCCCCAGTGCCTGAGAAGCGGCTCTATAGGTCCAGGTGGGTGCCTTTTGTCTTGTCAAGCCAGAGGGTTCACCTCCTCTCACTATTTCATTGTACCTCGCCCCTTTGCTGCTTCTGCATGGAAACTCACAGGTGTGTTTCTGCTTAGAATTATAATACCTTCGTGCAGAGGTGGGGCACTGTAATGTGCTTCACGATTCTGCTGCTTGTCCAGTGTACATTTGTTTCTGGGCAAACTGTCAAAAGCAGGTTGATGTGAGGACGCTGATGACCCTGAATAAAAACCTTGGGAACAGCTGCTTCTCATCTTTTGCAGGAAGATGCATAAATGGCACGCTAGGGGTGAAACATTGGACACTGAACTACCTATTTCTATTGGTGCATCCTCGGAAGAGTGAGAACTGTCCCCACCCCCAGCCTGTGAGAAGCTTAAGTTGTCCCAGCTTTGTACTTCAGCCATCACCCTTTTTAAAAAACACAAATGTTCTGTTGGTAGACGTGTGCCTGTCCATGGGGGAGGGTGTCCGAACACTTCACGCCTATTAATTTTACTTTGTGATGTGTAATTGGATGCCAGAGTAAAAGCCAAAAGAACTTCACCCTCTGCAGTACCATTTAGAGACACTAATATTTATAAATTGTTAAAGAAGTGTTGCAGCCATGGTGAAAAAAACAGAAGTGAGAACTATTGTAAAACCTCTTGGGCAAAGCATGAGTTTTATTGAGAACTGTCTTAGGCATGTCATGAGTGGAGCCAGCTGGTGCCAGGGGTCAGACTAGATGGTCTGGGAGACCCATTCTGACTCGCTCTGTTTCCATGTTATCTAGATTTAATTGGCATAATTAATGCTTTGAATGCATGACTTCACTTGCCTGGCCAATTTGTCTGCATATTTTAGGCTTTTGCTACCCAAATGACCAATCTTACGATGACACAGATACTTGTGATAGGAGTACTTCTGACATTACAACATCAGAAATAACTTAAGAAAAGAACTGTATCCCTCTGAGCTGACCAGCTCTTCAGCAGGAAATGAAAATCATTTTTAAATATTTCTTGCCCTGCCGCCATGGGCAGTGCACATTCGCATAATCAAGTCTTAAATGGTGATGCTCACATTCTTTGAATTTCTGAAAAACTCCAGCAGAGCTTTGCAGCTTTTAATCCGACAAGCGTTGTTTGTACTCTTGTTGCATTTTGTCTTCCAGAATCCCACGCACTATTTGCTTTGGGCAAGGGGCCACCCGTGGCTTCAGATGCAGGAAAAACCAGTCCTGAGGGGCCAGTGCACAGATCACCAAGAGCCTTTGGAGCACAGAGCAGCAGCTGTGTACGTGAAAAATATGGCAATGAGACACTGTGGACTCCCTTCTGTAGGGTGAGGGAGAGGCATGGGCTGTCCTCGGACCTTGAACTGAGGCAAAGCAAGCCTGGCGGAAGTGAGCCCCTGCGCCTCCTGAGGGAGGCATGTGATGGAAGCGTACCATTCGAGAGCTGCCATCTTCCGCTGGAAGCTGCTTGTGGAACGCAGCGCTATTCAATACTTCTGGAAGTACGGGAAATGAAAGTTGTCCAGATATTTTTATAATAAAATGTTCAGCGCTGCTGGATGGTGGGCAAAGTACACCTATCTCCCCAGTATTCCTTATAGCAACCCTGTAAAGTAGGGCAACATTATTCCCAAATTCCAGGTGGGAGAAGGAGCAGGTCCTGAGTGGGGGAGAGATGGCAGTGTGCTTAGTAGCGCCAGCAGCGTTTCAGCTGTGATCGTCTGCCCTTTGTGTGGGACTGAACCGTAACTCACGGGGACTTTGGCAGAGGACTGCTCTTTCTAACGGTGGGGACAACCTTGGGTGGAGAGTAGCCAGTCCGCCTCTTGCACGGGACAGGGGACTGGGCCTCCCCTCCCTGGGGACTTGGCTCCAAGCAGGGCCTTCCTGGCACAGGGCCTCTGCCTGGAGCAGTCTCAGGACGCCACCTCCAGGTCGCCCAGCCCAGGCTGCAGGCCAGGTTCCGGGCAGTCCTCCAGGCCGGGCAGCAGCGCCCACGACCCGCGTCCCTGCGGGAGGCCCGAGCGCCTCCGAGGCCGCCTCGACGGACGGGCCCCTCCGCGTGCTGCGCGGCCCAGGAGGCGCACCTGGCGCGGGGCGGGGCCCCAGACCGGCCCGGGGCTGCTTGGCGTGGGCGCGGCGCTTCTGGCTGCCGCGGAGC